ACGGCTCTAACCCTGCCCCAATGGCCCTTAAGTGTCTGTTGCAGCTGCGACTTCGCTAACCCGGCGTCCCACAGCTTGACCGTCTTATCAGCCGATGCTGACGCTAGTATCTTGCTGTCCGGGGAGAAGGCTACGGCTTTAACCCCGGCTAAATGGCCCTTGAGCGTCTGCAAGTGCGGGCTCCGATTTTCTGACAACCCGGACACGCATGAGACCCAATGTGGTATATTATCCGAAAAGTTCTTCCTGATAATACTGGCATTTGGACTAAATATTAGACCGGCGGAGTAGATTTGTAGCGGTGCTATCTCTAGGACCGGTCGAAAAGTAAGAATAAAGCGTACCGCATCATGTATTAGCGCATGCAAACTTAACCGTGCTGCTTCCTTGGAAGTTTCTAAAAGAATCTCAGGTGTAATCTTAAATGCGAATATCGATTTGAGTTTGGCACCAAGCCTTGTTAGCTTCTGAAGTGGCTCCTCTCGCTTGTTCTTGCAAGTCAGCTAGTTGTAGTTGCTGCGGAACTGAAGTTTCTCACCAATAATCCCGAATCCAGCATATGAACCATAACTACCGCATCAGAGGCACGGCCTAACAGTGCCAGCGCTTCAAGCCAATGAAGGAAGTGAGTTCGGAGGAACTTTTCAACATTGTCATAGCCATCAATGTCTACGTCGCTTCGTTCATAGTGGTAGACCCAGAACCGACATGCGTACTGGATATGAGGCTGAATCTGTCTATCTACTTCGCTTCTGCTCAGCTTAGATATGTCGGCTCCTGGATGTTGTAGATTGCAAATGTCGCGCCGTAAGTGGGTTGAAATTACTCGAAGACAGTTTATATACATCTCGCGATGGACCAATTTCTCATCGATGTAAAATTGAGGATTCAAGCATCTCTTCTGGTCAAGTAGAAAGTCGCGGAACGATGGGTGGAGCAAACGAACGGTAAGTGACTTGGCCTCTGGCACATAAAGGACAGAATGCAAGTTGGATAAGGTCCGATTCAAAGCCTCGACATCTTTTCCAAGTATCTCGGCAAGGTCTAACACGGATAGAGACTCTGGAGAAATAATAATTGGTCCCACAACCTGACGGAATAGCTCGCGCAACCGTAGAGTTTCTTCTTTGTCGTATTCTCCTCGGATAGAGTTGGTGAGAACGGTGGTGTATATCTCTTCAAGCTTGTGTGCTGGTTCAATCGTACCGTTGGCTTCGTGTAAGAGAAGCGATAAACGGCCCTGCGCAAGCTGGCCGCCTTGTTCGATGAATCGACAGGCTGTTGCAGCCCAAATGAATAGACCATCGGAGCTCCGGACTAGAGATGTAATTGCACTCTCCTCCGGCCAGTCAGCCTGGAACTGATATTTCCGTCGGATAAGTCCGAGTTTTTCCCTTAGGAAAATAGAGATGTCTCGATCTACGATTGAAGATGATATACTATTGAGTACAAAGTCTTGGTGTTCATCTTCATGTATTTGATTGAAGCCGTACCGAATCGGAACCTCAGGTCTGCTCGTCAGAAACACCCGTAGCCGGACAACCTTCAGCGACTGAATTTCAGCCAGAAGTTGCGGGGCAGAAGATCAAGGGTGTCAAGGCGACTCGGGATAGCTCAGCTCTGGCGGGATTTATCAATACTTCTGGAGAGGAGTGGAAGATCAATCAAGATATTTCGGATGCTACTGCTGATAACAGGAGTTTTGCTGCTGCTGGAGTCATCAAGAATATAAATTTCAAGGACTTGCGTCGTTCGTAGGTACGGCAAGGACAAGGCCAAGGCTATGAAGGAGCTGCTGGAGATAGAAAGGACTTCTGGTTGAACTATGTCACTAGTGAGGGATTACAGAATCGATCGTAAGCTCGTTTTTCACGCACTGTTAGGCTTGAAGCTAGTTTCTGTAATAATCTAAGTCACATGACTAGCTAGTCTTTATAGTTCCATGGCTAGTTTCTATGGCCAGCTTCCATGGCGAGACTGTCTTTGAATCGTACTTTCTGAAATTCTGACCAATTTTCCGAACTAGAACTGGACCGGTTTAATTTGATGTCCTACGCAAGCTAGATGATACTCCTACATTCATTGTCTTCGTTCAGCATTCAGGCTTGAAATTGAATTCTGTCATAACATTTTCACGATTCTCCATGCCGAGGTCAGTGAGATGAGAAGGTAAATAAGTAGATTTCCGGACAAAAGTTAGCATGAGTTCGAACCCCTCATCTCGCCCCTTATCTCAATTTTATCTACTCTACTTCTCTGCCAGCTCGAATCTCATGATGTCCCCACCATACACACTTTCACAAGGTTCACTCGGATACCTCTGTAGGTTCCGCCGTCAACTTCAAGCAGTAAACTGGGGCTGTAGCTTCTCTGGAATTGTTCTTTTCTTCTGCCATCCGTTTCTGAAAGACTTTCCGCAAGACTTTAAATTCCTTTCGCTCTTGTCTTCTAGCTCGATACTCCTTCCACTGGTTCTGACACTCTTCATAGTTGTACTTTCTGCTTTATTCTGGGTTGCTGGTTGAGTTGCTGAAGCAGTATGGCATAGTTGTGGTTTTTTGCTTTTTGGGGTGATGGTGCTGATGTGAAGGGGGTGTTTGAATGGATAGAAGTTGGAGTTATTACTGGTTTTGACGTGGGGTTTATGGTATCAGAAGCTATTGAGAGTGATAGAATATGTGTTTCCTGGATGGATTATGTCATTTTATTGTCTGCTGGGTCTGTCTGAAATGACAACAGGGGTATTTCCGACGTACAAAGATCTTTGATTCTGAAAAATAGCTGTATTCTTTTTCTTTTTGGAACAAGAAGCAAACAGAAGGACGTAGTCTCCACAATGCTCACTTGTCCAGAATTTATTAGATGGAGAAGTAAGTTTCAACAAGCGTCTAACATTCTCTTTGATTCAAGTCATACGTTTCGAGGTGTTAATTTCACAAATTATAAAATACTTCACATAATATGCAGACCAAAAATATTCGTGTTTAAAAAATTAATCGCGACAAAATGACAGATATTCTCCTACTACATAAGCGCCACATCTAATCATCAGGTGCAAACCATGATTCTTCAAGGAGGTCTCGTAGGGCCTCCTCAAAAAACCAGGTTTCTACCTGATACTTAACGGCGTGTTTAATAGGCATCCCAGCTGTCTAGAACCGCGTCCTTTTGTACCTTGTCATTCTTGGCAGCCTTGGAGTCTCCCGCGGTCTTGGAATTTTCGATATCCCATGGGCATGGGCAATCAAACAAGAAGTCGTGGTCATCGCCAATTTGCGACTTGAAGTTCTGGGTCGGTGGGGGTGTTGATGGCTTCTTGGCTTTGCGCTTCTTGTTGTTTGCAGGTTCTCCGACGGCTTCTTCATCTGCTCAGAGATGAAGATCCCACTGGAGGCTGGCTTTGGATGTGCGCCCGTTTGGGTCCTCGGAAGCCCAGGTACAAGTTTTGTTTTTGCTCCCCATGATGACTGTGTGTTTGTTTGGTATGAACTTTGAGGTTGTGTATTTGCTTGTGTGGTGTGTGTGTGTGGTTTGATGAAGTGAATAGGTATTGTCAGATTTCCAACGGATTTATATAATTTGCCTTCGAAGACTGTTGATAATAGGCGAGTGTATTGTTCCTGTAATTTCTTTGTTGTGCTTATAAATTTCTTTGGAGTATTCACAATTGAACAGCCTGAACAATGTGGTCTTTGTCACGGTTGCATATTCAGAACTTCAAGGGCCTCTCGAATGGGCAGCCATGTCTTGTGTCGCATAGTATTACAAGTAACGCCCATAGGCATCAATGGTAGTATTATTAATTAATCTTCTCCCTATATGATTTATAAAAAGCAGCCCTTCACGATGGCTTCTTCTGGGTTTCCTGATATCTCTCCCATGCGGTTTTATACACGCCCGATTGTCTTGCCTCGACGAACCCGGAAAAATCTTCGTCAAAAAATCGACACATCTTCATCCAATCCAAATCCCATAAATCATTAAGCTCGGTCAGATTATTCCATCCTCCCCAGAGTCGGTTCCACAATTTAGCATGCAGAATTCTGATCGGTCCAATTTCTTTTTCTAGACCCTCAGCATGATGCTTGCGATAGTACTCTGGGAGCGCATTCCAAATAGGCGGCAGACGATGGACTGGAAAAGGGCCATTGATGGTAAAACCATTCTTGGACTTCAACACACCCTGCTCCATTTCCTCAACACGATAATCCTGCGTGCTCCTGGCTGCTCGAATGAGTTTGGCGTGCATGTCCAGGTTGGGTTTCAAAACCATCATGCCAGCGTTGATGTGGTCATCGCCAAAATACGGCACGCCTGCGTAAACATAGTCGCATATATTTTGTTTTGTGCTGCCGTTGGCTATGACAGCTTTGTCTTCTGGACTCAAAAAGTCCTGTTTGCAGTGCTGTACGGGAACAAGAGCAAAAATATCGTCGATGTTCCTGATGGGAAAGGCGTCTGAGTCTAGGAATACAATCCTCTTCCACTCTATCTCCTTCCAGAGATTCAGCTTAGACAGTACATCTATCCATCTTTTCGTTGCAATCGCTTCATCAGGGATGACGTCGTCTAGAAGTTCAATTTCCTTGACGATAGCTCCTTGGCCCATCAATATCTGTCGGTTTTGTTCTGGGATGAAAGGACAAACAAAGACAATGATGGGGTATTTTGAGCGGTATTCCGACCACAAGATCCGCCAGAGGAGCGACTGTGTGGCTTCAAAATAGGGTCCTCGAACATCGGGCTCACGGTCGCAATAAAATGTAGCAAATGCGAATTTTGACGACTCATTGATATTGTGTGGTGGAAACGTGGATAGAGATACAAAGTCACGTCGGGGCACAGGATCAAATGGGAAAGCCAAGCCGATATCCTCTGTATCTGATAGGGTGTGTTTCTGGGCGATATAGCCTGGTCCTATGCCTCCATCCGAGGGCGGTTGTTGGTGTGATGACCGATGATTTGGGCGGAACGATATGTATATAATTATACAGAGGATGATTCCAGCAGCTACCGTGAGATGCGACTGACGAGTTCGGAGAGCCGCCATTGGAGATGCCAAATCGAGTTTTGCTCGAGATGCCGCATGTAAATAGGGCCAGTCTTGTCTATATGCGAGTTATAGATTGATCCTTCATTGGCGATCATCCGTGACACTGCAGCGTACGCTGCTGCACCGGTATAGCTGATATCTGTCCGAACCACCTTTGTACGAGTTCGTGTGGGGAAGAAGATTGTGGGGCTGGGGTAGAAGTTCTTATAAGTAGCGCTGCCCGTGACCGAGTCTTCCGCTAAGCACATGTTAATTGGCCCTTGCCGCTACAACGGACAAGGATAGTAAGATTACAGATGGTTTAACCTTAAAGCGGAATCTGAAAAGGGGAAGCTTCTCATGCGGATCATGACTAAAAACCCCTCTGCCGAGGCATGATAATTAAGATGTATTAAAGAGGATTAGACAATACAACGATTAGCGCGATATAAACTATGCGAGTTTCTGATTGCCGTATACTTTTATGCCACGTGACTATCACATGCCATACAGTACAATGTTACCCCCCTTCATCACCCACGAGTTTAGGATTTTCAATTTTCTAATTCTTTCGAACAAAGCCAAATGCGAAGTTTAATGCGTTTATATTTGGTTTCCACGATTTGTGGTGTTTGTTTCAGCATATTCGCAGTCTTTAGTGCAATAGACGCTAAACAATGGGGAGCTCGAGCGGAGATGGGGTATAAACCACTGGTATAGAGTAAGATCCGTGCATTTTAGGTATTATTTCCCAATTCTAGGAATTAAGAGTTATAGATAGTAAGGTATATGATTAGCGAGGCCTGAGTTGGTTCTAAGACAAGTAGAAAGGGGCCTAAGCGAGGTGTTACTAAAACAATACAAGTCGTTACAATCGCTCTTTTTCTAACTCTTTTCCACCTATTTTGTCGTCACCAACTCCACGCTGAATGGTTTCTTCCACCCACTTGTTGCTATCAGAACCCCACTTCATCCCCATTCACTCACAAAACCTACTCTCATCCCAGAACGGCCTTATCTTCCCACCATAAGCTCCCGGGATCACGTAGGAGCTAGCCCGAGTTCCATCTCTAATTTGCTCATGAAATTGTGCACGTATGCCAACTCCGGGATTGCTTCCGGTGGCGGTCTTATTAAACAGGGATAAACACTGAATATACTTAATATTGGAATGTGGTAACCAAACAGTGCAAGATAGAAGGATATATGTTAATTAAAGAGAGAAAGAAAGACTTAAGTAGAAGTCTCTACTCAAGTCTCCTTACTCTTGGTAGCTCCTGCTATACGCAAGGTCCTTCTTACCGCCCTCTTATGCTTATGGTAGCACTATATACATGATATAATTCAACACTTAACATATGAACTAGCATGAGAATACAAAGAGGCACACATTCTTGCAGGTTTTAAAGATATCGATCATTGCATTCTATTGTATCATATCAATGAATATTTATAAAGATTACCTCAAAGAACGTAAATATCTGTTTCAATGCTTACCTACGTTCCTGGTCTGGATTTCTCATGTCGAAGAGGCCTATCTTCTTCGCAGAGCCACTAGATCTAGAGACCCCTCTTTCACCTAGAAACCGAACCTTGAAAGCATCATATGAGACAGTTTGCTAGGCTAGTACAGTGCACTATATGATGCTACTAACAGCTCATTTGTGCTTTCTTCGCCCTGAACCTCACGGTCCTCACCACCACCTTCATCTTTAGTCGTCACCTCGAACCATTTGTCTTCTTCGATAGCCGACTCGATAAATACCCACGCTTTATCTAGTCCTTCATCAATGTACCAGTCGACTGTGTTCCTTCTGCGTGGCATGGTTGAAACTGTTATGGTGTAGAGTTGGAAGATGAAGCTTTAAGTCCCGCGCCGGAGCCTAATTTATATCGCTGAGGAGCACAGCATTGTTCTCTGTCATTGTTAAGATTATTCAAGTCCCATTCCAAGAACAAAGCGCAAATAAAACAACCGTATTCCCCTGAAAAACAATAACGTCAAATGACTGAGACCGCACTCTCCACCGAAAAATTATATTCTCAGAGTTAATCCATCCCCCCTCGAGTCTCCTGCTTCTACGAGATCTCTGCAACCTCCCATTGATCGATAACGATGAGCAACCTCATACTCTCTCCACAAGATGGTGAACCCACAGCCAAATAGTCTCTACACAGTCAATTCGTACTTGTCACCACAGTGCTGTCTTAGTCTTAAACAACGTTATGGGCGCGGTATAGTCATTTAGACGGAACAACCATGCTAGAATGTATACAAAGCTACTCACCGAAATACTTCCCAATTAGCAATTAGAATCAATTTAAACTCAAAACTCACACCACACATATAACCAATATCAGACCTCAAAAAGTCTCCACAACGTCAATATGCACTTAAAACCGCTGAGACCGGCACCTCAGGTAAGTTTCTAGAGAAAAAGCCCTCGACGTCTACCAGACCAGCGCGCACGATCAGTGACATTACTCGCACCGTAGAGAAAGGACCACTGAAACGGGAATGCCTGATTCCCGAGGAGTCGTCGAAGAAATTGAAGAGATAAGAGGAGTGGGGTGTGAGAGTAATAATAGGATAGCGTTTATATGAAGGCGCATATCTGATTGATTAATTGAGTTTGTTTCTATAATGTATCTTACAATTGAATTACGAAATTGAAGATACTTGTGCTCAGAAGATGGCGATGAAATGTTAAAAATGTTTTGATAAGATGAGGCTTTTCTGATAAGGAAATGGGTGGGAGGGTACTTTAGGTAAGCTAAGTAAGTGACTGTACGCAGGTACTATTACTCTCTGAAAGGTTTCATAAATACTTAAGAGGAAATTTATGAATGTCCCTGTTCGACTGCGGATCATAAGTAGCCCCGTTGACGCGCGGGTGGGGCTCTTGACATCCTTTTCTTATGCCCATCTATAGGTCCGGCGATTGAGGAGGCAGATATGGACAAGTGCAACTTCATACACACACGACGGCGACACATAACACGCAAGCGAATATGACCACGATTACAACTGAGGCTTAGATCACTTATTCGATAAAACTCTTGTTTGTCAATTTAATATTTCTATTCCGATATAGCATCCCATACAAGGGAAGCATTGTTAAAACGTCGAATATTAATATTCCGACATTAGCTAAAATTTCGCAGTTCCAGGTCAGTGATCCCAATAAAGGGTACTGGCTCAGAACTCTACCTAGGCAGGCAGATTGCATCTAGCCTCGCACAGCAATTCCCAGAGTACAAGCGAAGCTTCAGCTTCCTTCTTTCTCTGCCGCTCTCTCTCCTTTTTCTCGGCATCTATAAACACCTGCAGAGCCTCCTTTCTCTCCTTCCTCACAGCAGCCCTCTCCTCCCTCGCAGCATGGCTGAATGCCCGCAAAGCCTCCTTTCTCTCCTCTCCCACAGCATCCTTCTTCTCCCTCGCAGCATGCTTTAAAACATGATAAAGTTCAGAGCCCTGTGGAACAGAGCAAATGCACTCCCCCTCCCCAGCAATGCGCCCCGCGCAACAGTCAAACCAATCATGGCCGCACTCGGCACATGGGAGGCACTTGACCTGCTTCCTAGGCGTGGAGCACGGGCATGTAGCTAGCTCCCCGTCCGCGCCGTCGCAGCAGCCTAGCCAGTCGTAGCCGCAGAGGCGGCAAGGAAGGGTTTGGAGGGGCAGGAGGGGTGTGGAAGTGGAAGTGGGGGCTAGGGCCGGGAAGTCAATGTCGAGGGCGTCAAGGTCGTCCGTGTAGGCTATGAGGGCGCTGGCCTTGCAGCCGCGAGTGCCTTTGCGTCCTGATGTCCAGCGGCCGAAAATTGAGCCGACGTTTTTGGGGTGGGGCACTTTTGTGGCTGGATGAGAATCTTGCGACGGTTGGTAGGTGGGTGCGTGTCATTATAAATTTATAATGGTTTGTGAGTTTGGTAATAAGAAATTGGTGAAGAAATTAGAGGAAAGAATAATCAAGGTTATGCGATTGTTTTGTTTTTACCGCGTGTTTTGAGTTGTGGTAAGATGATGGGAGAGTAATATGGGGAAGGACGTTGAATTTAAGCATTCACAAAAGAGATTGTTCTGGTTTTGATGTATCCGATGGAACATGGACGGTTGAAGGAGAGCATTCTTTACAGTACAATGGCTTTGTGGCTTAGACAAGAATATTCACGTAACTATCATTCATACCAAGTGCTTCTCTTTGTCTAGAAGCTTGGAAGCCTTTGTGGCGTAGCTTTCTTTGTGGCCTTTCCTGACTTTAGCTCGAATTGGAACACATGGGTTGCCCAACACGATGGTGCACAGCTTGTGTACCTTCAATCGAAGCTAGACCTTGTCTACCCGAGTTATAGCTAGACGTAATAGGAAAGAGACGTCTCTTATGCAATTGGTAAAGAGCACTATCAGCAGCTCGCTGGCCTCAGAGATATCACCATCTACGAGAATGTAAGTTGCCCCGGCCTTAGTAAAAAACCTGTATTTATATATCGTACCAACTGCATGAGTGAACTTGCCACAAATCTAACTCCTGAAACCCTCCATCGTAACTCCACGCCCAATTTTCAATAGAAAGCCTCTAACTGTCCTGACATCAAATATCAACTCAGCTAGAAAGCAGGCTCAAATAAACACCCCAACCCATACCCGCCACACTTCCTAGCAGACTTCTTCCCTCCACGCTCTTAACCAATGTATAATTTACCGCACTAACCAAAGGCCACAATTTCCAACCAGCACTCATGATTGGCCAGAATTCCTCCTTTGCGGCATTCACAGCTTGTTCAACCGTCGCACCCTTGAAGGCTGCTACGAAGAGCGAGAATATTAGGGTGTTGATGGTAGCGCCAATTGTTTGGTCGAGAGTGAACTTTATGGCAGTGTTTGGGAGGGAGAGTTTCGGTTCGAGGAGCGAGTCGGTCTTCTCTTCGCGGTCGAGCTCTTTCTCGTTGTTGGTGGAGGCGGCGGAGATGGCGGCGGTGGAGGGGACCAGGTAATGGGACGGGAAAGAGGATTCGAGGAAGGATTGCCTAGGAGGGGTTGTTAGTGAGGAGGTGGGTGAGGAGAGGGGATGGGAGATACCAACCAGATAAAGTTGGGCGGGGTATTAAGGGCGCTAAAGATTACGAATTGGATAATCGGGCTGAAATCGATTGTGTATGGTGCCTGTGTATTTGTTAGTATGGAATGTGTGAGAGACTATGGGGAGAGGCTTACATCTGCCTTGTACGCGGCAATGAGCTGTGCAGTGAGGTTGCTAATAGCTCCTAAGATGCAGGCTTGAATAGTCGCATTGACAAGCGGCGAAGAAGCCATGATGAAGTTCTGACAAGCAGTCTGAAATGAAGGAGAAAAGACGACTAGATGACTAGAAGAGAGCGGGAAAGAGAGAGAGAGAGGAAGAGAAGAGGAACGGGGGGGTAGAGCCGTCCAGTCGTACATACATGTGTCGTAAATATTTATTTGTACTTCGCGGGCTGAATCGGATCGGGACTTGATGTGAGTGCGGAGTGGGGCCGCTTGCAAGGGGTAAGTAGTACAGTACAGTAGAGTAGGTATACAAAACGAGTATCGTCGGCGCATTTATTCCCTACCCTCTCTCTCCTCCCTTTCTCTTTTTCACCCTTCCCTTTATCACCAAATGCATCCCAACAATCAAGTAACTAATTGGGGACTATTCATAATTATATGTAGTTCGGTAAGAATTGAAAACTTGAACAGGAAGAGTACCCCCTCCGAGATCGACTTGGGAGTTTAATCATCCATTCCCCAGCCCCAGCTTTGATGGTCTATATATTCTCTCATGTTATTATATCAAAAGTACTGTACAAGACCATGTGTTTCCAAGCCTTAAAAGTCTTGGACACAAACTCAAAGGGCTCTCGAATCCATATTCAAAGGTATAACCGCATAGATACTTCAACAATACGTGTATTCGAACCTCAGAACAGCGACAGTCACCTAGGTAGGTATGAACCTTGCATTCGTGTTTGTTCCTTATGGTTCTTCGTTATGAACTTTCCCTTTCATACAGATGAGCCACATTTTGCCGCTCATAACTTCCCCTTCCAGTTGCCTCGCGATTCGATCGCGAAGTGGCAGGAGCGACCTCGAGAGAAGGCGACTTCCTCGTTTTCCAGATCACTTGAATTTTAATCATCTTTGCGGCTGATGACGACAAATGTTTGCCTTTTTCGCAATCGGCCGTTCTTTACTCTACATCAAGATTGATGATAGAATGGGATTTGAACATCTCTTGAAAGTGAGGAAGGGAAACCTCACTTTTCGTCTTTTCTGTCACTTGTGGATTCAACCTTTTTCCTCATCTTTGAGGACAAGAGACTCAACATTGGTATTAGAGGTCTCGAGATTTGTTCACTGTCTAATCACCTCTGTCGTACGTCTCCCAGCAGTGACAGAGGGATCTACTTCAACGCGACAACTTCGCTTCCCCGCATTTCTTTGTCAACAAACCACCATCCACAGTTCCAATTCACCACTGCACAAAATTGCGATCTTTCATTCGCACAGGATTCAGGTATTGCATTGAACGGGTTGCCACTCTTGTCGCACTGATCCAACCCGCAATCGCAGCACACCAACATGCCGCAGAAACGCCAGAGCCATGAGAACCGTCAATGCCCCAATTCAGATAGACCTCCAGCTCCACCACCAAGTTTACAGCCACCTCAGCCTCAAGCGTAATTTATACTCCCCCAATCCTATTTTTACAAGCTAAAAAAGGCAATTTACAGCTTCTCGAGCCCATCGCCTGCATTTTCTTGGCACAATGATCAACCTCTTCCTCAAAACCCATGGTATCCCCCGGAACTGCTGCTAGCATCTTCCCATCAGTACCAATACTCTCCGGTATCACAGTATCAAGAACCTCCTCCGTTGGCTGCGAATGGCGTTCAACATGGAATCGCCGCGTTCCAACAGGACTTTATCCACACCACTCCGGTCGATGGAGACTTGGAACAGACGCAAGCCTACCGAGTATCGGTGCAGCCTCTTGGGCTCCCACAACTCACTAGAAGAGATCCTCAACAGCGGGGAAGCCATTTGCAGGAGAACAACCGGCCAGCATACTCCCATTATGGCAATCGTCGACCGATGAACAGCCGGCAAATGGATGACAATCGGCCCTGGAGAGATTATCAACAGACGAACCGTCGGCAGGGCTCTCCGATGAATGCCTTTTCATTGATAGGCGGCCACGCCGTTCAGTATGGACAACAGGTTCGGTCTCGAGCCTTTAGAGGTACAGCCCGCGTAGTAGAAGTTGAAGATATGGAGGCTCAGGCACAACGGCGTGGAAGAAGCAACCGTTCTGGAAGAGACTCCTATCACGCACCGCCCAGAGCACTCCCTAAAGTGCGATCCTACTCACCTCAACATGTAGAGCCGCCTTCTCGTGCCACCGGTCCAAAGTTTCAGGGTGCAAAGGCTTCAATACACATTCGCGGAAGAGGCAATCGGGCTCAAGTAAAACAACCACATTCAACGTTTAGAACGCTTGGGAAGCATTTCAAAACGGAACTAGATTCCGAGCCATCAGACTATCCGCGCTCGATCTCTCGCACCCCGCCCCGGAAAGAAGGCAACGTGAAAGTTGAAAAAAGGTCTGCGTCTCCAAACCGTGCGCGTTCCATCTCTCTCATCCCATCTCAAAACGAGGTCAAGGTAAAATTGGAGCCAAGGTCGGAGTCTCCAGAGCCCATGAGAAGAGCTACTTCGCTTTCAGTTGGAGATTTTATCAAAACTGAACCAGAATCCGAAGCTCCCGAGCCTGTGTCAACTTTAATGGTTGCTCCCGCATTGGTCGAATCCAAAGCAAGGTCCGAGACTACAGAGCCCATGAACCAAAATACCAATGCACGCGCTTCTGGATGGGTCACTATCCCGTTGGCGGGTATCAAAAGGTATGTTTCTTCTGGGTTTCTTCTTGTGGTCGTGGTCTACTTTTACTTCCCTGAGCATATGCTAATCGAACCTGAATATCTGCAGAAAGCGCGAGGATTGCTCTATCTCTTCATACGGTTCATACAAAGACGATTATCAGGACAAAGAATCCCTCGAGGAGCTGTTCAAGAAGGTTAAGCTTTACTGAGCGAGCTAATGACGGATGAAGCGGCGCTGTAACCGCTGTTGACCGTCCAAACAAGATTCAGTGTCTTCCGAAAGGATCAGAAGCTTGGAATACTCTCCTAGCACACTGACGATGTAGATTGTGTACCTCCGTATGTGTAGCATGTGCTGTTTTTGAAGAAGTTGAAATAGGACTTGTAACGTGGTAACATTTCGACACGAACTGTTTGATGATCAAGCAGGAGATATGGAACAGGAAAGGTTTTACGGGATGTACAGTGCAGTATATAGATGCTGTATGAGGTAGTTCAAAGTCGTTACTATCCGCGTGCAATTGAGCACTAGCAAGTAGCTTGAGATTTCAACGGACATCAACTTCACACCTCCGAGATTTCTTGCTTGCTTGTGCGCATACGAATTCTTGTTTCGTGATGAGTTGTTGGCTTTTTAAATTGTACAAGTTGCTGGAATTTGGTGGATTGCGTAAACTCTATGCTACCTCGATAAAACGTGTAGTGGGAGTATATAAAATGCGAGGAAGAAACCACGATAAGCCCCTTTTCTATTCTCGCTTAACATACACCTCGGCGTTGGACTACATCATAGCGTCATCGATAAGGATATTATAGAAGGCGGCATATATTATTATTTCAATAGTTCTCTATTAGATATGAGCTTATAAATACCCAAATAATCTTAAACTCTCAATCTAAAGTTTCATCTTTCAATAAAACCAAACCACTCATATCTCGTCCAGCTAGAAATCTGAGCTAAAGCCCTTCAGTATGGCACCTGTAAGTCAACATGATCCCTTATCTAGCAAGAACTTCGAAGTCTCATTCCATCTATCCATAAGAGAAAAACTCTCCGTGAAATCGCTCTCGAGACCAATAAAACCAATCCCTCACAACTAGGCGACCCTATTTCCCTGAAAGCAGAAACGTCAAACTCTTCACCAACGGACGAAGACCGCGGGGCTGGATCCAGATCCAGTTCTTCTTCGTCGGGAGAAGGTATAGAGAAGATGGCGCCTGCGCCTACAGAAGGGGATGGAGAAGGAAAGGGGAGGGGGAAGGCTGAGACGGAGGGGTCTGGATCGAAGGAGAGTGATCGACCGGGCGTTGGGAAGTCGAAGCTTTGATAGGGCGTTGTATCAAATACGGTTCCCATACGACCCTAAGTCCACAGGGCGAATCGACACGTTGAGGGACAATCATTAAGATCTCTTCATCTGGCACGGAACTAAACGCTAGCCTCGAACTTTGCAGGTGTATAAGACAGGGGTTTTTGGGTTCGTCTTCACTTTGGAGAGGGTTGAAAAATGCGAGCAAAAAGTGAGATGCAGATTTTGGTCATACCCCGTCTAAGTGACCTTTTCAACGTTTTCTGCAGCGAGATGAAAATTCATAAGTCACGTACAAATTACATTGCGTGACAACCCATCATCACTTTTGCTTTTTCGGGGAGGTATCGGCTCTTAAATTAAGTTTGGGAACGTGAAGTCTATAGCAAAAAGTAAACGGTTTAGAATAGCTCAGATGGTTGTATATTAGAATACTTAGACTTGCTAATATAAATAAAGCCCTGTCCTCGTGATATTACCTGGTATACCTAGCTAGCCTAGGTAGTAGTTAGATATTCAGAGCCTTTGGCTGTGCCTGGTTGGGCCTAGCTCAGGCTCAATACCGGCTATCAACGTGAAGCTTCACATGATTCACACCTGGATCTTTCAGCCTTCGCAGCCTCTATACTTCCAGAGTCCTATCTCCAGGGAACAGTATCAGTCGACCTCTTCGATCGACATCTAGCCATCATGGTAGGGGAATAGAAACAAAGCGCCGCAGCATACCACCTCATGCCCCACCTACTGTACCAACAGAGCTCCGGAATTAGATATGGGCCATGGCTTTACCAGGCCCTCGGTTTATACAAGTCAGAGGATTGCACATAAGCTATACGGTCTCCCACAAAATAAACGCCCGCTATCTATAGCCATACGTTTACCCTAGAATAGTTCAGATACACCGCCGAAGGGTACCGATCGAAGATGAATCTCAGGACTGCCAAATACTTGCATTCAACCGGGGCTTTCCAACTCCAAAGACTTTTGACGCGAAGATACACGAATATTGTGGTTGCTCACCTCCTATGTTATTCTCTGTGTGCCATGAGTCTCGGAACGCGGTGCTTGGCTATCTAGGTACGAAAGTCTGAATTGAACACAGACAACATCTGATCTTTGGCTACCTCTCCACCAAGACTATGCTTATACACTGGTTAGATCATGAGGCTCTTCAATATGATATCCAGGAAAATCCTAATGTCTCTCCTTTTTGTTTCACTGTGAAGTGTAATTTTGGTAGATCGGTCACGTTGTCTTGCGTGGTCGGCGGAGCGTCTGGTCAGGGCGTTTAGATGAAAGAAATATGGGGTTTAGCGTGCTTCGTTCCAAGAACGTTTGCTCTTGTATCTCCAGGTCTGACAGGGTGTTTTGCGGCGAATACTGCGATTTGGAGATACTTGATCTCAAACGATTGAGCCACACGAGTCTCAGCCACAGGCGTTGTTACACAAACCAACATATAATGTCAACATGAGGTACATTCCTCAATAAAAGCCTTTTCAGATCAACGTTGACCTCCCGTTTCCGCACACACACCACAGCACATCGCAATGGCTAGGGACCTGGCAAACTCTACGCCTATTATGCCGAACATCTTTCATCCTTTCACTGCTCTCCCCCGAGAGCTTCGAGACTTGATCTGGAAACACGCGTTACCCGGTCCTCGAATCATTACCGTGGGATGCAAATCCCTTCCTCCTAGGATATACGCCAGTCTCGATCCTCATGTAGATACAGATGGTTCGTTTAATCAGTCATCAACTTTCGGAGGGTGCTTTGAATTCGGCAATCCTTCTCCACCAACGCTTCTCCACACATGTCGTGAATCTCGAATGGTAGTGCTGGCCAATTTCGAAATGTGCTTGTCGTATACGCCTACCCAGACGATGAAGTTCTACGAGCAGCCTCGTTGTATTGTGCAGCACGGAACTTTTCCACAACAACCAGATAAAGCCGCCAGCAGCCAGCAATTTTCGTCTCATGGTATTTGGTTTCAACCGTTCCTCGATACCATATATTTCCCAGATGATGGAACGCATGATTGGTCATCGCTTGCGGCATTCAGCAATGACGACGTAATGGGGACAAGAAAGATCAGATTATTTGCATTGGACGATGGGATGCATAGTGATGTATGTCTTGGGATCATCTTCAAGAATTTCCCTGACATTTGCGAAATTTTTGTGGTTATCGACAGATTTGACGAAGACTATCTCAAAGTGAGAGAACAGTGCTTGAAGGAGGACCTGCCAACATTCCATCATTTATATCCGCGCCTCCCGCTCAAGAATGCAGTCGTGTGGGATGCAGGCGACTTTATGTCACCGGATTTTCAGACCCGGGGTCCATCTTGATAAGGGGCAACACGAAACTGCAGTATCCTCTTTTGAACCTCTGAGTACCAATTTCCATGTATGGGGTGGGAAATTTTCGAAGTGTTAAAGGTATATGTATCAATCTTGGTCCCAGAAGATTAATCAAACTAACAGTAATAGCTTTTTATTGATGTTCAATAATACTAGTTTAATCGTACATCATCTGAATCACACTAATATCGTCGAAGGTCCTGTCTTCCAAGGTTCACATTATGGTTCCTGTATAGTATCGATCCACCAGATGCCACCCCTCACTCAAGCTCACGCGTGAATTCGAAGAGGTTGTGTTTCCCCGGTCTTGAGGCCTCCCAGCCTTCTCCCAGTCCTCTTCCCAGTCCCTCAGCACTTCTGTGCCAGCCAATCTTTGGCTAGGTAAGCCAAGTGGAATCTTTTCGAAACTTTGCTCCTGTTGCAGATATGTTTGCAAGTTCGACGAAGGAACAGGGGCCCATTTAAGATTTTCTCCTGTTGTTTGTGGGGTCTTTGTGGCCCTGCATACTGCATGGCTCGACGGGGAGTGTTTTTCAGGAAGGCTTGGCCTCAGTCAGTCTTGGTCGTGCGCTATATAAATGGAGTTCACAAGGACCAGGAGTCCACGAGCCTACGCACCAATTGACTTCTTTCGGCCGGGCGATGTTCCTTGTCATGGTGTGATGAAAACATACGAGTACTCCTGAGTCGAGGTATGGAAAGGGCTCGACCAAGCTGAACCTTTCAGAGTGGAGTGGGGATGCTACGTTATTGGGGCAACTGAATGTAATTCGAAAAAGGTGAGATTTCCTTATCCTAGGCCGTCGGTGGCCAATGTCTCAAATACTTATAGTCGACTGCAGTCTTGATCATGAAGTCTAGAGCAGATCAATGCAAGTACAAGCCCCTTTTACTACGCACATCAAGTCCATTACTATGTCGTTTTCGTCAAGGACTCGCTTACAAGGGTTAGACAAACCTTCTCCTAACAGTTTTATGTCCAAAGGTTTACCCAGTTGGATGCGTTCCAGGACTTGTAGACGATAGGGCGAAGGTTAGTGTGTGTGCACAAAGCCGTTATGTATACTGTAATTACCTCGTCGAAATCATGACTCTTCACGCGAGTCTTGCCAAACTCGATTCCCACGTGATTTTACCGGTCACACGAGTCCTGAATTTGAGTCCTGCGATTCGCCCACGGGTTCATGCTAGGACCCGTTATGATTTGAGCGGACCACAAGTCGCGGATCTAAAGGAGAAGAAGGCTGAAAATAAATTTCCGTCACTGTACCTTGCAGCCAGTGTAGCATTACTCGGCAGCGTCAGACCTAATCTTTGAATGCATTCCAGACCCCTCGTTGAACTGGCAATGACTTTCAACTACCTACACAGCTACTCGTGTTACCGCGGTTACCCCAGAAATACATAATCGCAAAATCTATGGACGATAACGGCTATCCGGCTTCAGTTCGTGCTCCTTCCTTTAGTCACCCCGCGTTTCATGGTTCAAACCGCCTGGCAAACAACATGACTTCGGCCCGACCCCTCTGTGCCACTTTCAACTACTTCGCAGTAGACTTTCTGATATCTGATCAAACTCCCTCACCGTCTGCTAGGTTCTTATATCAATCTCCGAAGCTTTATTTCAGTTTTCATATCGAGGTTTACACTTCTGTGGCTCACACGTCATCACTTGCAATCAAACATTGTAAAATAACTACAAGGTAAATGGTACGATTGTATTGTGGTACTGAGCTGATGTGTTGTGTCTCAGGTAGTACTACAGAAGACAAAGCTTCGAATCTGAATTTTAGCACAACAGACTTGGTGGAATTCCACCTGAAAGCTTGTGCTCTCAGAGTCCATTACACCTGCAATCAAAAGAAGTGACCAATCAAAATCTGGGCGTGAACCCGGACAATCATCTGTAAGAACTTCACTATTGTCTGCATGGCGACCCCCGCAAAGTCGGTGAACATCTAGGAGATGCGTTGAGCAAGTATCAAGTAGTCGTAATGTGTGCTCTCATCGCCATGGCGCTGGTGAAAACCGCAGTCACACATCACAACCCCGCGAGCGCAAGTTCCCGGGGCTCGGTCTTCAGCAGAAATGCGGCTTAGACGTTCGAGAACCCAGACCAAAATCCTCGTATCACCCGGGAGATAACTGCCTTGCATAATAATACCCGCAACGCATTCAAAGCTACATGACTGGTGTAGTACTATTGATCTGAAGTCCCAACCTCAATTTCCAGCTAGGCACATCAAAAACACAAGAGGCTTATCATCAAATAATAACGCTGTTCTAGCGTTTCGCTGAACTTTTGGGTTCATATGTTGGCTTGATCGAAGGACTGAGCGTGACTAAATGATGGGCAGACACAAGGCTAAATCAGTCTTTACCATACCACGACCAAGCCAAGTCCTACTACCTTGCGTTCTGTGACGGCTCGTATCCCCTCTCAGCAGCGTCCTACATCTTCAACGGCGATCTTGAGGCTCGAAGACCACAGGATCGTTGCACAGAAACGCCACAGTTCCTAGGAATCGAGTCCTTCAGTCCTTGAAAGGGAAGTAGGGGAAGCTTACATGCGCTCAGAGAATCCATTTAGAACACTTCAATGAGACGGAGAATTTCGGTCTCTAGGTTTGATATTTGATATTGATCGATTAG